GGGTTCTCAGATTAAAGGATTTACACACAAGATAAGTGAAATGATAAATTCACTAATTATCGAGTAACAAAAATATGTAAATAGATAAATATTGTAGGATTAAAAAAAAAAATGGAGTTGAATCTTTTTTCCCCACTTGGTTCTTTCTGACTCAATCATTCGTCTGTTCTTTCCCTCGTTACTCTCTATCCATCCAATTAAAAAAGATTCCCTTTTAATGCTTCAAAATCTAAAATCGAGAATATATAAATTATATAGAGAGAGAGATATACAGTATATACAACAGAGAGAGAGACAAAAGGGTTTAGGGTACGTATGATCGCAGTGAGAGAAACAAAACGAAACAAAACGAAAGTTCTCAAAGTAAGCTTTTTTTTTACCTTCTTCTTCTCCAATGTCTTCCTCTGCTAAAGTTTCGATTTTTTTTTTGTTTCCGAATCATTAAAAAGTTTCGATTTTTAGTACGAATTGTTATTTTCACTCTCGAGGAAAGAAATTAGTTTGTTTGTGATTCTGCTAAAGGAAAACTAATAGGTGAAGTTGAAAGTTTGGTTTCTTTTTAATCTAAAACAGTTGGATCATCACTGTTAATGCTTCTTCGAGATTGATTGAAAAATTAGGACTTTTTTTTATTCTGTTTTCCTTTAGTTTCGCTTTGATTCTTCGAATTAGTATACATGTATAGGTTTTTGGTGGTAACATTCAATGATGATTTATCCCAAATTAGATTTTGATTAGTGGTTTAAACTCAGCAGAATCAAAAGTTTGGTGTGTATAGAGAGACTGACTTGACCCTTTGAGGATTTGTTGAACTTGACAATGATTGATGATGAGAATAGAAGGAATCTAATTTCTTAGTGCACTGCAGTTTCTTGCTCATCAGGTTTGAAGAAATTAACATCTTTTTTTTAGTTGTTGCGAAGAAGCAGCATTAATCAAAGTGAAGCAGGTCTTTCGTTGATATTTTCGCAATGAATATCCTGAATGGAACTTTCTCAAGATCTGACAATTTCAATGCTTCAAGTGATGCATCCTTCTTTTCCAGCTCTCTGCCTCTGCTTCCACACCAAAACCGTATGTACCAAAAACTGAATATCGAGTAGCGTTATTCGCTTTTTAATTGTCGTATATTGCATTACATTCTAATCGTTAACTATTGCAGTCAAACCTAGTGAGAACTACCATCAGTCTGTTTCCGACTTAAACCATTTTGATGGAGGCATTGGCACTATGCTTGATGGTCGTGACTCGCATCCAGTCGGGAGCATGCTTCCCGATGATGAGGAGGAGCTTTTGGCTGGTCTAATGGATGATTTAAACTTGAGGACATTGCCTGCTACATTAGATGACTTGGATGATTATGATTTATTCACTAGTGGAGGAGGTCTTGAATTGGAGACTGATCCACATGACAGTTTAAACAATGGATTCGCAAGAATGGGTTTTGCTGATTCTAACATTGACAATGGTATGCCTCAAAACATATTCCAAAATGGAGTGGGATCGATTGCTGGCGAACATCCTTATGGTGAACATCCTTCAAGGACTTTGTTTGTTCGGAATATTAACAGCAACGTTGAGGATTCGGAATTGAGATTTCTTTTTGAGGTAATTTTAGGATTCAGAATTGGATTTTTATTTGCTAAAAGATTGGATC